GAAGGACTGATTCATATGCTGATCTAGAGCATCCTACTTAAATGTTCACCCCATGGGAACAAAATCAGATTTGTTGAACTATTTTACAGATATCATTCATATGAGTTTGTAGAAAGTTGAGGTTAGCTATTGATGCTGAAATTGTATAAAGGTGGTCTGGAGTGAGACATACAATGGCTAAAAATGAATTTCTTAAAATCTATGGGTTCACCTTCAAAGAATTTGCTATAACTTTCTTGTCATGTAAAGGATTCATCCTGAGCCTAATATAGATGTTGGACATTACAAAAGGAGACTGCTTCTCTTTTTAAATTTTTTTATTTTAATGTAATACAAGCAGATATTAATAAAGAAAATATAAAAACTCTTCTTACATCTATGAAAAAACAAAACAAAATTTCATAACAAAATAATTAGAGAATAAAAATGGTTAATAGATTGTGTATCATAATCTTAAAAGGATGGCTAATGGTTCTCTTTTAGATAGATTTATGTGATAATGAGAAGGACATGTGAAACATTACTTATTTAGCCACATGCATATTTTCCTCTGAAATAAAAATAGTATATACCTCATAGGGCTGATGTTAGGGTTAAATGAACTAATGCCTGTAGTGTATTTGTTGTAGAGTCTGGGACATACTAAGTGCTCCATATATAGTAGCTTTCATTACTCAAACACATTGCTACCAATTTTCTATTTGAATATCAGTAATTTTGCCTATACTGAGTGCCATATAGGTCCAAATGAAGCAGACAGTTTTATTATAGCATTTGCTTAAAGAATGATTTATAAAATAAATTTCCAAGGGTTGAAATAGAGTGACTAATTAGATGCAGTTATGGGCTTTATTCATTTTATAGAAGGCAGTGGCAATGGGAACATTTGGAAGATTGAAGGGGATGGGAATTAGTGTGGAGGTCACACAGTAGTTTAGCAAATAAAATGGCTGTACACCACTTCTCAAGGACTTCAGCCCTTAGCTTTGGTAACTGTCACACAATAAGCAGGAGAATCTGGAGAAAGACTGTTCTGGTTACAGTTTCTTTTAACCCATGAAATGAAGAGGTTGAGCTCAGTAATTAATAGCCACCATTTTCCATATGCTTGCCATAAATCAGGCACTTTATGAGCATGACTTCATTTAATCCTCCCCCAGATGAGTCTTAGGAATTAAGTACATTATTATTCCCAATTTACAGATGAAGAGGCTAAGGCTCAGAAAGAGGCTATGAAACCTGCTCTAGGGTAACTGGCCTAAGTTCAAAGCCCATATGGTTTCCCTGTTGCTACTCTGCGTCTCAGTGGCTTTCTAGATCCAATAGTCAGCAACTGAATAAGGGACATTTGAACATTTTGTTCTTTCACTGGTCTTTTAAGAGTGGGACATACTGAAATGTCCTTGTATGTGAAACAGAAGGGAGAACAAAGAGATATTAAATAAGTTCTGAGGTTGATAATGTATCTTCTTCCCTAACATCACTGAGCTAGAATCACTGTAGATAGTGGGCAAAAATATACCAATGGTAACTTTCTTGCAAATTTGGTAACAATCCCAGCACATTTTACCTCCCCTGGCCTTGTGGACACAAGGAATTTTTCTTTTTCTTCTTTGGGAAAGTTGATAAAACAGTTTTCAAGGATCATTACAAAGGATTTTACTGGGGGGTGGGTAGTAGTCAGCTTTAAAAAGGACAATGAGCAACTTTCATGAGAGAAAATGAAATTAAGTTCCAGTAAAATCCTGATGGGAGTTTGATTTGGACTCCACCCACTTTATAGATTAATTTAGGAAGATCTGACTCTTTGTAATACTGTATCTTCCTATTCAGGGACATTTGATGTCTTTCCATTTGGTGTGGTCTTTCAATTCACTTAAAAAATTAGTACAGTACACTGGGAATGAAAAGATAGTTATTTGAAAAGGTGAATCATTTGAAAAAATATTGTCTAGACTTAGCTCCTATGCCTTTGTCCCTTTTTTTGTTGTTTAACCAGGCTGGGAATTGGGGGCCAGGACTTCGCACATCTTAGACAGGTGCTGTACCACGGAGGTACACCCCAAGCCCTACCTTTGACCATTCTTAAATGGAGTGGCTTAGGTTATTACTTACATTCATAATGGTATCTTTTGCCTAGGATTCCGATTTTGCTAGTTGTTTCAGACAGACCATTGAAGACATTTGCCTTGGTTATTAGGTCTGCAAAAAAGTGGCAAAACATAACATGCTTGTGCAAATATTATTATGAAGTTATGTTGATTGTAGTTGGACCAGAGGAGGAAATTATCATTGTACAAACTTGTAAAATGAGTTTAAAACGCAAAGTCTTATTATGCAGTCGATGACGAACAGTTGTTTTCTGTCCTTCCATAAATAACTAATGCCAAGGACAGCCTGGCTATCTGTTTCAGCTTCTTGTTACAGAAGAGCAAAATGGGCGAGGCCTAAGTTTCAGTGACTGCTAACAGAGCAGCCCTGTTCATTTTTACACTTTCAGGACTTTTACTGTTGTATTTTGGATGTCAGTTGCATTGTACATTTCCCTAATTCTTCCATATCCATATATTTCTAATTGGATTGGTAGTTCTGGGTGGGATGTATCACTGAGTAAGCCTAATGTAGTGGCAAACACTCTGGCATAGAAAATCCCAGTTCTGTGACTGGTTTCATCACTCGACAAGTCATTTCACTTGAATCTTTTTCTTCATCTTTGAAACAGGGATAACAATCTCCCGTCTTCCTGTATCATAAACAATGGCGCAAGTGTTCTGTCTAAAATGTCAGCTGCTTGGGGAAATGTTTTGTTCCTGAGAAGTAGTTTTCGGAGGGTTTCAAAGGTTTGCTTTGACCCTAAAAAAGTGAAAGAAGATGAGCTGGAAATAGAGGGGATACATTTGGTTTTCTTTTCGGAGATGTAGTTCTTCTTTCCTTTTCACCCTGAGTGTGGTTAAACGTGGAGGGAAAGGTGAGCTATGATAGGTGATAAAGATAGCCATAACTATGGATACCAATACACGATAAAGATCTTGAAAATACAAGTACATTGTTGCCCTAATAGAAAAATGTATATCATGCACATATGCATATGTTATGTATGTACTATAAAATACATACAAACAAATACTCATGGCTTCAGGCTGTAGGGATTTCTTTCCTTTGTACTGTGTAAAGTTGGAGGAAATTCACTAAGCTGGGACATAGTGTTCAGAGGAATTGCGTAATTGATAATGTCTGGGCAAAGAGGCCAACAATAAAAGAACCTGGAAAATGTACCCTTTAATTACAAGGCTTTTTTTCATCTTGGCTTAACAGATTAATTTATGTGCTATGCTGGTTCCAAACTGGGCCTATGTTTTAATTCCACAAGTAGAGTCTAAGTGTTTTGAGGGTAAGTTTGATCATTCCTCCAATTTCTTTTATGTTAACCCTACTACAGATAATAGTTCTTTGTATACCGGAGCTACCTAGTGAGTTATGTAACTGACAAATGATTACCTACTCCTGGTATTACAACAAGATCTCGTAAAAATAAAGATATAATTAAACTTGTTTGAAGTTCTGAACTTTCTAGGTCAATCTTGAAAAAGGAAAGTACACAACTACTTCAGTAATATTTATAGGCACATTATATGTAAGTAGGTGAGTCTGTTGGAAATTAAATGAGTAACATGGTTTCAGAGTAGTAACGAACCAAAGTTGTACTGTCAACCAACCACCTATGGTGTCACCTGAGATGCTTATTAAAAATTCAAATTTCTCCATCCTACTCAGATCCAGATCAAAATATCTGCGAGTTATAACTAGATACTCACATTTGAACAAGCACTCTAGATGATTCAGGTGTATACTAAAATTCAAGAGCTGTAGCCTGTAAATCTGAGATGTAAGGCATGTACACGTGTGTATAGGTGTTTCTGATAATTCCACGGGAACATGGAAAATAGCAAGTGAAGTGAAATGCTTCTTATCAGCAAAAAGGGGAAGCTAGTCGACCACCTTGCATCAGGAGACTGAATTTGTTTCTTTTGCTGATATATTTCTGGCATGGTTCTGACATTTCTGTGATGGTTCATTTGCAATCATGGTGGGTCCACTTTGAAGCCCGGAGACAGTTCGCTATAATTTTATCAGTGATTTCTTTCTTTTTCCTTTTCTTTTTGAGACAAGGTCTCACTATGTAGCTGAGGCTGGCCTTGAGCTCGTGGTGATCCTCCTGCCTCAGCCTCCTGAGCGCTGGGATTACAGGCGTGTGCCACCATGGCTGGCTCAGTAATTTCTTGAATCTCTTGGGAAAAGCACTTGTAGGATTGGTTTATAAATAAGGACCAAAACCAGTAAGATGTCACAGTGCTGTGGTGACTTTTTCCCCTATCATTTGTGGGCTTCTTTGCCATTACATTATTCCTTATACCAGGATGGAAATCAAAGACACAAGGTGAAAACCTTGCATTCTTGTGGTATTTCACAAGCAGGAGCGAATGGGGATCTTAATACAGTGCTAGACAAGACAAACAGACGAGAAGCTAAGGCTTCTCGAAGCAGAACACATTCACTCAAGGGAGTTAGGATCTCTGTACAGGAAGAGCAATGAAGACCTAAGATGCCTATCTTTAAAGGCAAGTGCAAGATGACCTCGGGAGAACTTTCATGCCAGGGTGGAGTCGTGGGGAAGAAGTGCGGGCGTGGGCCCGTTCCGCATCTCTCCTCAATTCGGCGCTAGGCCCTTCTGCAACCCTCTTGCCAGCAACCCGGTGCCAGCAAGCCAGGAGGCAGCGGCAACCGGCTGGGAGCCGTTAGCCGCCTCCGCGCCCCCGCAGCGCCCCGCTCCCGCAGCTGGAGCGCGCCTGGCTCCACCTTTTCGGCTGACGTCCCGGGTGAGCGGGGGCGGGCGCGTGGGTGGGCCGAGCCGTCGGCGGCCTGCGATTTGGCCGGCTAAGCCACACCACCGCACGCCCCCGCTCCGCCCGCCCCTCCGGGCGCGTCTTTTCCGGGCTCGCGCCGCGCCCCGCCCCCGCTGGCCCTTGGCGTGCGCGCGCGCCGCTGCAGCGTTCTTGTGGCCTCTGCGGCGCTCCCTCCTCGCCCGGCGCTAACGGCACGCGGCTCTCTCCGTGAGCTTCGCCGGCCGGCGGCTGAGAGGACGCGGTGGGCAGCGCCCGCGGTGAGTACCTCCGGGCGAGGAGGCTGCCGGCACCCCTCGCCTGTGGGTCTCGGGGCCGGGGCTGTTGGGTTGGGGCGCCGCACCTGAGCGTGGAGGACGCGGGCTGGGCGTTCCGGCTCCCCGCGGCTGGCCGCTTTCTTCTGGGGCCCGGCACGCTCCCCGCCAGGCGCCCGCCAGGCCGCGGCGGCTTCTGCGGTCACCGTGTCCCCTTTCTGGTGCGGTCTGGGGTCCGGAGCACCTGGCCCGCCGCCTCCTACCTCTCACCGTAGCCCGAAGGTCGGAAGTCATCTTTCTGGTCCGGGCACTCGGTTTTTCCTTGTCCCTTTTGAGAGGAACACATGAAGTGTTTAAGAGACCTCCAAACGACCTTTAGGGCGCCCCTAGACCTCAACTCCATTTTGTCCCCTCCTGCTCGCTCTGTAACTGAGAACTAGGAGGGTTTCTCTGCCTCTGGAAGCATCTGCTTTCTCTAATTTGAGGAATGTTCTCGCTTCTACTATATTCTTACCATCTATACCTTTAGATATGTTAGAAAACATCTGGATTCTAGCAGAAGCATGCTTCCCCAAACCGTTCCTTCTGTCTAGATCTCCGCCTTCAGTGAGTGCTGTGTATTTCGTATGAGCTTTATTCACTTCCTTTTCCTCTCATGTGAGTACCCAAAAGAATTTTGGCTGATGTCTGTACGAAAACCTAGGAGAATATGATTCATTGCCTAGTCCCATCAAGGGGTTACATATTTGAAATCAGACGTCACTCCCTTTCACTTCAGCATCTCTTCCTTCGAAGGGATTTTTTTCACCCTCTTGAAAATAATTTCATGGATTAGCTCTTTCCACCTGAAAAACGCAGTCCTAACCCTGAGGAACGGTGAGATGAAGAATAAAGGTAAAATAGCATTTAAATGAACCCCTTTGAGAAAGTAAGCAGTTTACTTTATTGGTAATTGGTTTAATCAGTTGCTTAGTTTCCTGTTCGGTAAAAATAGGGATGTTGGACTGGAGCATAACTGAAGTACCAGTTTCAGTATTTTTATTCTTGGACCTCTAAATCCATGTGTTGTGCCATGTGGCTGCATAATAGAGACTTAAGCTGATGAAAGCCTGGTTTCTCATCATGGCTTGTCACTTCTGGTTTTTTTCTTTTTAAAATTTTGCCTCTAACAGAAAGAGCTTTAAATGTTCTTGATACATAAAGTGGCAACTGGAGATTCTGTTACAGTATTTCCAATGAACATACCAATCAAGATGATAAAAGTGTAAGTCCTCTTCCTTAAATCGTAGAACAACTCACCTTTTTATGTAAGACTTGTTAGAATTAACACTCTCTGTGACTTAAATAGGGGATAAAACATTAAACTCTCAGTATATTTGCGCCTTAGAATGAAGTTCTTTATTGTCCTGATATCAGAAGTAATTTAACATCTGAAGGGATAATGAAACAATTAAATTTTAAGTAAATTTAGTTTTGTGGTTTTTAAAACCTGTTTATAAAACATGTGATTCAGATTAAGATGTTTGGTTGAGTATTTTAGGCGGGGATGAAATGGATGAAGCAAGAACAGTCTTGCCCAGTTCAGTGAGAAGAGAAATGAATTGGGGCTCTGGAGAGGCTCAGGTTCCCATCTCAGCTCTAGATAGATGTATAACCCCTTAAAAAGGTTCCTTTACCTTCTTTGTTTTTCACACGTATAACTAAGTGTCTTCGTGGTTGGCAGAATGATCGGTAAGTTCTCAACTTGAATTCAATATTTTTTTAACTGAATAGATATGATGGATATATATTATATTTAATATACATATGTAATGCATTTTGCATTAAGACTGTGTCATAAATCTGTTATACCAGTTATTTAGAATGTTTTTCTCAAAGGTCTGCATATATTAGTTTAATGTAGATATACTTAGTTATTAATGCATTCTAATTTAATAAGTTACATGTGAGTGTATAAAATAAGGGAGGGGAGGAGAAAAGGATGTAAAAAGAATGTTTTAAAATTTTTAAATTTTTTTTATTTACTTAAAGGAGTAAAAGAAGGATAATATAGCAATAGGGGTATTTACCGAATTATAGGCAAAGTGGTAGAACATTATCAGTGGTTGTTATTTTACCTATTGGTATCTTCAAGATAGTTTCTCAGGAAAACAAATAATAGTGAGTTACAGACAAAAATGGTAGGAAATTATCAATGGTTGTTGTACTATACTTTGGAGTCTTCAAAATGGTTTCCAGAGAAAACAAATAGAGCTATACATGAGTGATCAATTAAATAATCATTGACTGTTCTCAATGGTTGTTGTCGAAAACACATAGTATACATCCATTTACGAAATAGCATAGGAACAATACAAACATTACGGAGTTATGAACAGATTGGTAGGAAATTATCAATGGCTGCTGTAATACATGTTGGTATCTTCAAAGTGGTTAAAAGAATTTTTTGAAAACTAGCTATTACTAAATTGTTAACTTCAGACTGCAAATAAAATGTTTATAAACCGGGAGTGGTGGCGCACGCCTGTAATCCCAGCACGGGGGGGGCTGAGGCAGGCAGATTGTTGTGAGTTTGGGAGGCTGAGGCAGGTGGATTGTTGTGAGTTTGGGAGGCTGAGGCAGGCGGATGGTTGTGAGTTCAAGACCAGCCTGGGCTACAAAGTGAGTTCAAGGCCAGCCTGAACTGCATAGTGAGACCCTGTGTGAAAAGGTTAAAAAAAAAATGTTTATATACCATGCTGATTTTGTTTATTTTGTGATTACTATTTTATTTACTTATTTTTAAATTTTTATTAATACATATTTACAGTACATAATGGTTATATTCATTATGAGGAATTGGTACACATCTTAATTCTTTTTACATCTCCTTCTCCCCTCCCCATTCCCTCTTTTCTCCAAGTCTTGCTCCCCTTCCCATTTACAAAAGATGTATGTCCATGTTGCCTATTATCTGTCTTTTATTTTGCTCTTTATTTATACTTTGGGTCCTCATGTAGGAGAACCCGTGCAATACCTAAGCTTGTGTGTCTGACTTACTTCATTTAACATTATTTTAAAACATTCCTGGGTTTTAAAAATTTATAAGGGAACATGTACATACTGCCTTGTAATTTACTAGGAACTTTACAAGAATATGCGTACATCTCATTTGTTCTATTTGTTCATTCATTTAACTATCTTGCTCCTCCATCTGTCATTTATTTTGTGCCAGCCCTCAGGATATGATAGTTAAGAAGACAATCTCTATTTGATGAGTATGTAGTCTGGGATGGTGCTTGGGTTGTTAGAGAGACAGATGTATACAGTTTATTTTTATGAAAAACAGCAACCAAATCAGGGACATAAAATCTTGAGGAAATTAAGGCTGCATAGGGGAGGAGAAGATGGTTGTATTAATTGTAGCTCGTAGAATTTTTCCAGCATTATTTTTTCCCCTTCTTTGAACTTTGATTGCTAAGCCCTTTGCAAAAATAAAAGCTTTGTTTTTCTACTACTGCGATTGGGTGGTCTTATATACTTTTTGGGGGGTTTTTTTGAGACAGGATCTCACTATGCAGTTCAGGTGGACTTTGAACTCACTTTGAAGCCCAGGATGGCCTTGACCTTGTAGCAATCCTCCTGCCTCAGCCTTCCAAATGCTGGGATTACAGGCGTGGGCCACCATGCCCAGTTTATATACTTTTTAAAAATTTCCTTTTGACTTTGAATTTTGAGATAGTTTTGATATGAATTTTGAGATTGTCAAGCATTTGTAAGAAATAATGTCCTTTATCTGTTCCCACAATCACGCATACATAGAGTATAGCAACAGAACCAAGGAATCCCTGCTTATGCAGATTTTACCAGTTTTAACATGCTCTAGTTTGTGTATATGTATTTAGTTCTATGCAATGTTAGCATATTTAGATTTGTATGATCATAGGCAAGTTACAGAACAGTTAAATCACCAGAAGTATCTCATGTGTTGCCTTTCATATTCATAGCCATCTCCCTCCTTTCCTGACACATGACAAACGACAATTCTATTTTACACATATTACCTTGTCATTTAAAAAATGCTGTATAAATGGACTTAGAGTAAACATTTGAAATTAGATTTTTTCACTTGACATAATTTCTGGAGATTCATGTGAGGAATGTATCCTTTATCAGTAGTTTGTACATTTTCATTGCTGAATAGTATTCCATGGTATGGATGCACTATGTTTAACTACTTATCAAAGAACATCTGGTGTTTTCAGGGTTTCATTTTTAGTTCTGGCCCAATTATAAATAAAACTCCTGTGAACAGTTAGGTACAGGTTTTTATATGAGCGCAAAGTTTCATTTCTCTGGAATAGTTACCCGAGTACAATTGCTGAGTTTTATAATAATTGCTTGTTTCATGTTCTAAGGAACTTCCCAAGTGTTTTCCACAGTGGCTGTACCATTTTCCATTTCTATCAGCTGTATATGAGAGTTCTGTTTAAATACTGATCTCTTGTTTGATATGTGCTTTGAAAGTATATTCTTTTAGTCTGTAGCTTGTCTTTCTTCCAGCCTTTTCACAGGGAGTTTTGCAGAACAAAAGTCTTTAATTTGAATGAAGTCTAGTTTATTAATTTCTTTCTTTTATAGAATATGCTTTTGGTGCCAAGAGGTTTTACATACATTTGTTACTTAATTTTCTTTCTTTTTGTTCTGTATAATACCCATTGTTTGTGTAAGCAGTGTGAGCATTTTATCTTTCAATAATCCTGGAGCTAAAATATATTCTGTGAAGAAGTAGCCTTGAGCTTAGCATGGGAAGACGTATTTGGACATTCTCTAACTGTATTAAAATGGCTGCTAACATTTTAAGCCTTAAAAACGAAATGACTACCTCACTATGCTCTCAAATGTAACATAAAAATCTGTACTTTAAAATTAGATAACGTGTTGTGCCAAGGAGGTTTTTGGTTTCACTTTCTAATTTAAAAATATTTTGGCAAAACTATAGTTTTTCAATCAAAGATTTTGGTAAG